CAGCTGAGGGCCATACTGAGAGAGACGACCGACACCACCTTTACCGTGGAGGAACTAAAATTGAAGCAGCAGCAACTGGCCCAGTTGAGCCTTCCTCGAGTGCATGTCCTGGCGGTGCACCTGATCGCCCTCGCCACCGGCTTCTGCCACGCCGACCTGGCCAACATCGCCGAGCGCTGTCCCGCCCTGCAACACCTCACCGCCGAGCTGGTGGGCGGCTGCACCGACTGCCAGTACCAGGAGTGGCTCAGCAGTGAACTGGCGGCCGACAGTTTGACAAGTGGGGGGCAGAAGACGACCCAAATTGGCCACTGTCTCACTGGACAGCTGCAGGCGCTGGGCACCGGGGGACGGTTGCCGGCGCTGCAGAGTGCAGTCATCGGCACGCAGGGCGTCGTTCGACAGGTGATGGTGGTCAGGAAAAAATAGTTGGCCAGGCCGGAAACTACTTCACTGCATGTATGCACTTGGATTGTATCATTTTTAGTAAAGATACCATTGTGTTATTTTGCTAATGTGCTAATGTGCTCCAGTTGCAAAGTTTGGTTTATGGAATTAGTTTAGTCGAATCTTAAGAAAAAACCAGTTTGCAAAATTTGTAAGTTGCCTAATCGTAAACGCCCAGTTTGCTTGGCATCACTGTTCAGACCTTCACTTTTAGACCAATTTTTCTTGATATGTCCTTCGTTAAAGTAATAAAAAATGGCCCTTTTTCCTTTTCTCTTTTACTAGTATTTTGCACGGGTAATAAACAGAAGCAGTAAACTGCTGTCAACTAACTGCTGATGTCTACGTCGACTGTCATTCTTCTGTCTTCTTTCTCTGCCAAGTCCTGACTATCATCTCCGGCGATTCACATCATTTCACAGCACTGGTAGCATACAAATTACTACGCATTGTTAGTAGTTGCTGGGCCTCGTCAAAGATGGGGCGCCTGCGTTTCGTCTGATTGGCAGTAAAGCAGCGACATTTTGTAATGCAATTTAAAAATCACAAATGCTTACAAATGCTAAAAAACTGGTGCATTTTGATTAGGTCACATTTGCACAAAAGCTGCAGTGCAGTTGACTGTCAGGGTAACTCCAGTTGTGTGAAGGTCAAATCTGTAATCGGCTAATAATTTACTCTCTCTCTCTCTCTCCTATTCTCTCTGAATGCCATTCTCTGATGAGCAGATAAACCAAGCAATCTTTTTGTTTTGGAGAAGAATATAAAAAGCCAGCATTCTTCTGTGAAATGACTTTGTGTGCTTAGCTGATTGGTTCAGCTATTTTTCTCTTTTTCCCCTCCACTTAATGCACTTCTCTGCCGCCACACACAACACAACACAGCAACTCTGCAGCACCCTCATTCAATATTTTTTATATACTTTTTGTACCATTTTGTATTATGTATGACGATACCAGAGCGGCGAGAGTACACTCGTTTGTTCGCCTACTAAAAATAGCCAAAATGTCTTCTTTCGTTTTCTCTCGGGCAAATGGTACCAAAATTGTATGTCTTCCTTCCACTCCTCCTCCTCTTCCTACTTCCAAAAGTGTCGGTCTCGCAGTGTGTCTGAAACGCGGAAATTGCCGTCCGTCTAGACTCTACTAGGCTACCCAACCAACAGCAGCAACAGCAAGTGAAGATGACATTTTGTGCCTCTTCCCGTGCACGACAAAGTTGACGACAGAATGAGTGAGTAGTGGGTAGTGAGAGAACGTTAAAGTAAAGGAAAACAACAAAGCCAGGAATTATTACGCCAGCGTCAGGAGGAAAAGAGAAGAAACCCAAAAAACGAGCGAAAATGAGTGACACTGTCATACCGAGCGACAGACAGACAGACAAACAGACAGACAGCAGCAGCAGCTAGCAGACCGGTTGGCTTGTCCGGGTAATTAGAGAACGCGGTAAACATTTTATGATGGAAAATAGAAAAGGAGAAAGGAGGAAGAGAAGAAAGTGTGATCCAAATGTCAACGAAGCAACGACGACTGCAAAGAATGTCAGTCAGGAAAAAAGGAAAAAGGGAGATGAATCCAAATGGGCAAACAGTGCCGCAGTGGACACTTGGACACACTGCAGGCAAGACGAGTCGTAAATGGGCCTTCAGTTCGCTTGCCCTAGCACCAGGCCATCCCATCAGCATCAACCGCTCCGAGGAGACACACAATCATTTCCGCTTCAGATGTTGACCACAGATCAACACTGACAATTAATTGTCGTACAGTTCAACAACAGCAGCGTTCAGTGTAGGCAGCTACTAATTCACACTTGAACCGATTCGTCTAGATTTGCTTGTGCACTGCAAAAGAGGAAAACAGAATAACAAAAACAAAAGTAGAGCAGTGCACGAACAGTTGACGCGGCCACAATTGCAGCAATTAAAATAGCGGTGACGACAACAGCATCAAATGGCGACAACAATTGTGAATCACCAGCAGTGCCCAAAGGACAGAATGTTTAAAACTAGAGTAGGGGCCAAATTGAATTAAAACCGTTCTCTTCCTTTGACAGTCAAATGAGAAATAATTTGAGAGAATTGCCCTCTTCTCTTTTTCTGCAAGTTCTTATTCGTTTTTCTCTAAACGACTGGCTAATAAATGACAATCAGTTTTGCAGTACAAAACAAAGACAAAAAAGTAATGGGCGACAATTGGGGCGGAAAAAAAGTCAAGAGGAAGATACTGTGGGGAAAAGTGAAAAGAAATAAAAACTAAACTAAATGGAAACCATTTATTGAGAGGAAAAAAGAGCAAAACGGCAATTATATAATAGATGAGCAGAGGAGAACAAGAAAAAGAGAGAGCAAACAACAAAAATCAAAACAATAACCGTTGTCATATATGAAAAATTGATGATGACAATCAAGTGGAAGGGACGACAAAACATAAAGAAGAAAAGTGACATCAAGAGTAGAAAATGCTATAAAAACTTTAAAAATTTTATTCTTGCTCATCATTTTTTGAAAATGACATTTTGATTTTTAAATATTATCCTACTGTAAGTTTTCACTTTTATTTTTTCTTTTATTTTAAAAAATGACTGAGAGAAATATTTTTTTTATTACTATCTTTTGCTGTTCAGACCAAATGCTCGAAAACATATTTCCCTTGGCACTCTCTATACTTGCAAACAGGTCATATTCACACCACACTAGCACACGACAAGACAAACATGAGCAACTGAAACAGCGATTGAAAAACTCTAGAAAGAGAAAGTGAGAGCAAACAAAAATGCATTTGCCCACTGCAACCTAATCCTTTCCCTGGCGGCTGCAGCAGAACAAGGCGCCACAATAATAAATCAACAACTCAGCAGCAACCCACCACCACCAAGCACACTTCCAAAACGCTGCCTGCTGCTGCGACAAATTGACCTTAATTTGTCAACATCAGCACCACCACCACTACCATTGCCCACTGTTTTCCACTGTCCATAACCCTAATTTGAAAGATTTGCCGCCATTTTGCCATTTGCACTGGTAATCTCTTCTTTCCTTTCCTCCCTCCAGTGATGACAGCGCCCACTCACACACACATTATAAATAGTCAAGGGGCACATAGAGGACAGAGAGAGACAATGAGAGAGCTGCAAAACAAATGGCCCAAAGCTAGACATGCAGTTTATTTGGTACCACTGCAAAATTCATTACCTCTACACCGCCTGAACCAGTGGTGGCCATCTCGGTCGCCATCATTGGCCGCGTCTGACTCAGCGACCAAATTTGCATTGCCGTGCACCATTGTGCAAACATTTTGACTAACACACACACTCTGATCAATCTGGGCTTCACGGCAGTCCCAACACACTTTCCGCTCCCAATTCTCCTTTGGGACGACTTTTTAATTTGCAAACGACATAAATTCTACTAGATGTTAGAGGAAAAGCTATTGTCAAGTTGAAAAAAAATTCACATGTTTGTTTAAAACTCGTTCTGTGTTCAACTAAAACTAAAGTTATTATTATTTCTATGTAAAAGTTCACATAACTTTGATTCTTGAGAAAAAATGGTGGTGAAAAGAATTTTGCCTGATTGCTAAAGAAGCATAAATCAGAAAAAAATTGCAATGTACAAAGTAAACATACAATTATTAAGTAAATTAAACAATTTTGTAAAACAGTTTTTAAAAAAATGAATATGCAGTGTTTCAACTCTAGAAAAAATAAAATGCATTTTCAATAAAAAAAATTGCAAAAAATAATAAGTGAAAAAAGTTTCTAAAGTTAAAATTAAAATTCAATTTATTTTTATTTTTATTTTTAATAATATTTGCTAAATTGAAAAGCTTTTTTGCGTTCATTTGACGCGTTTTGAGCAAAACTTTGATTAAAACAAATTTTAGCTGCAGTTGTGAGGAAAATTCACTTGATCGGGGGGAAGAAAAAGAGGGGAGAAAACAACAAACTAAAAGCTTCAAAGTTAAATTAAATTGAGTTCAATAGGCAAAAAGGTAGACTAGGCTTGCAGACTAAAACCTAGGCTAAACTTGGCAGCCACAAATGGAGCAGAGATTCAGTGCAAGAAAAGGCAAAGAGAGCCACAATATGCAAATTAATTTGCAAGAAAGTGTGAAAGAAACGAAATAAAGCGAGTTGAGTAAAAGTGAAAGGTTTAATTTTGGAGGTAAAATAAAGCCAAGTTGATGTGAACAATCCGCAGCATTTCAGCTTGTATGAATTTTTTCTTCATTTCTCAGAAAAATCAACAGCAGACACAACATTCTCTCAACTACAGTGGCCTAAAAGTAAAGTGAAGCTCACACGCATTGAAAAAGACTGCAGCAGCCAAACCGCAAACTAACCACTGGGGAACAGCAGCACAGGCAACAGCAGCATCAACCGCTGCCGCTGTTTTTAATATGCAAATGGCCATTTGAGTGGCAACCATTTTTCACTCTCATCAGAAAAATGGGTGCTGAGAAGATTGGCCTCGAGGGGGGAGATGCGTCTCGCAAGTAAAAGCAATCTAAACGATCTCATTTCATTTCACTTCATTTCATCATCAGGCCACTCACCTAATTTTGACCTCCTCCGAGAGCCACTGTTCGTGGCGGTCGAGGGCAATCAGCAGAGCGGCAATCTCTTCGTTGGTGTTCCAGCGGTGGCGAACCGTCGGAAAGTGCTCCGACTTGGTGATGCCCTCGAGGATCTCCGGCAGGGTCATTGATTGGGCGTTGGAGTTGCTGTTGTTGTTGTTGTTGTTGTTGTTGTTGTTGTTTGCAGACGTCGCCGTGGCCGTGGTGGTCATGATCATCGCCGTGCCAGTTCGAGTGTTGTTGTTGTTGTTGTTGTTAAGAAGATCATCGGTTGCCGGCAGTCCAGCAGTGCCTGTGCCCTGAGCGGCAAGAGCACTGCCAAAGGCGGAGACGACCGACATTGGCGAGGGCGTTGTCGAGTTGGAGGAGATATTTGAAGAGGGTGAGGTGATCATCTCAAAGGCCGGCAGGTTGTTATTGTTCGGTGAAGATATGTCACGAGAACTGCTGTTGTTCACTAGCTGTGTCATTGCTGCGGGGGAGGCGTTGGTGGTTGTGAATGAAGAGGAGTTGGCGGTGTTGTTGCCGCTGATAAGAATTCGACCACCACCACCACTGATAGCCTCATTATTTAGATGGCCTACAACGTTGGCAGTTGTGGGCGGTCGAAATGAAAGTGATAGTGCCGATGAGTCACAGTGCGGCTGCAGTTTTGAAAGCGGCTGCTGGTGCTGAAGGTTACCATTACTGTCACACATCCTCACAAAAGTCAGAGGTCGATTTGGATGAGTAGAAAATTTGGCTGAGCTACTGTTGAAGGTGTGCGTGTGTAGTGAGTTGCAGAGCAGCGAAGTGAGGACGACGAGGCCCTTGCCTAATAATCACCTCACTAATAAGTGTGTAAGTAGCTTAATATTCTTTTTTCTTTTTGTCTGTTTTTGGGTTCTGCACGGTTTGACAGTCAGCGTTGGTAAAGTCTGATAAATGAAAAGTGCGGTCTAAAGTAAACAGACTTTTCCCAAACTGGCCAAACACACACACACAGAAAAACAGAACCAGAATTAGAGAGGAGTAATGATCGTTATCAGCGCCACGTAATGTCCAATTGACGTGTTTTCTGTCACTTTTTTTCACTTTTGCTCCTCTGGAACACAATTTGAACTTAAAAGTTTGCCAAATACTGCGTTTTTGCCGTCCACAAAGTGGAATAGAAAATGCTTATTATTTTCTTTTTTTAACTTTTTGCTTTCGCAGTAGCTTTCAGCCTCTTTTGATATCAGCTTTGGGTAGACAATAGGCAAATAATAAATAAAAGAGAAAATAATAAAATCAATATCAAAAGCAGCCTTTCCGTTCTGTTGTTCGGGTGTTCTTCTTTTTGAATGTTCGTTGTGTGATTTAAGCCGTCAGCTGAACGAACATCAATCGATTTTGCCCTCCACTTTTGGCCAATATTATTTTTTAGTGATAAAAAAAGATATTTGATGATGAGAGAGAGAGAGCGGATGATTGGAACAGATGACGATGATGATGATGGCGGCGGCGGATTTTATCCTCTCAACAAAAATGACATTCTCTGTAATTAAAAGAAAAAACAACAAAAGTGAAAAATGATTAGTAATCTAACTTCCCTAAAAAAATGATGTTTCTCCATTTCAACGCACTTT